TTATGATTGTGCTTGAAACTTCAGTTCCTTTGTTTATTTGTCTATACACTTTGCACTTAAGTACACTGCTAGTTCATGTTTCTCAATATTGATCATAAATTACCAGTTTTATTTACCAAAAATAATATAATGAGATTGATGCTTAATGCTATGGTTCTGGTCGTTAGATGAACATCCAATTCTGCAATTGATAAATCAATGGCAGTGATGAAAAAACATGTGATTTTCGAACCACCACCCTTAAAATGAACTTCTTTTTAAGCATTTGCTGAGTTAGGATGTCTTCATTGCACGATAAATCACTGCATTCTTACATCGCAACCTGTAGAAATTCCTTTTATGCGTTATATCTTTATTGAATGTGACTTCATGTTGCTATATGTTTTAGAGACTGACGATGAGGAGATGATCTACGTTATAGTGCATACTTGCACAAGCTGATAACTTCCTTTGAATCGCGCGGTCTCACCAAATTGCTATTCAGTCATGTCTTTCTTATATGTGTTCCATGTATATCACTACAATAAAATCAGGTTTATATGACGTAAAAATGTCTAAATGTCCTAATAGAATGATTTTATAGAACTTGAGTTTATAAGCCAAAACAATTGAACGTCCTGTCTAAAAGTATTGCAATAAGTTTATAGAACGCTTTAACAAGTTCTTTGAGGACAATTGTGAAATAAAACGTCCTATTAATTTTTTGACAATTTTGGCCATTCTATCAACCGTGTTTTCTTTACATCTTACCGGTATTGCCTAATTTAAATTGTTACACCGTCTAATTTCTTCATAATCCATAACTAGAAGGTTATATTGGTTCATGTTAAACAAAACTATTGAGCCCTATGTTAGACATGGATCATTTCTCCTTGATATACATTGAACCCACTCTTTATCTCATTAAATTCAAGGGCTCCTTTTATTGGAGAGTAATCTACTAGGGATCCACATATTTTTACATGGTATCAGAGACTCTACACTTTGAGGTAATGTGTACTCATCTAGCCCCTTCTCAACACTCTGAGACAAGCTATGCCCGTTTAGTCTCTTGGATCATTTCTTGTCAATATATGTTGGAACATTCCTTCTCTCTTCAAGGGTTCTTTAGGAGAGTAATCTAAATGGGTTCCACATATTCTCACAAAATCCAATTTTATATGCTCTCTAGATGGCTTTTTGATTCTTAGATAGTTTTTCTTCTGAAAACATGACTATAAATGATGCTGAAATTCAACTAACAGATTGCTTTTCATGTTTGAAAACATGGCTAATTGCATCCTATATATTGCTAAATGCACCTCTAGCTATAAATTTCTTCCTCACACACACACATCAACATCAGTACTTACTTTTTACATTTCCAATGCATGAATTGACTTCATTCAAACATCAAACTGGGTGCAAATAGCATTACCCTAGACGGTGTAATATGTTTTTAGAAGGGTGCTTTTGGGAGATCCAACGGGGATTTAGGTGCGATAGATGTCCAAGAATTCACTGCTGTTGCAGCCTTGCGAGAAGCAGATGCTGCGAGCGGCCCCCAATCAACCCGAAGCGGATGTGTTGGGAGGCAATTTTATATTAGAATAGGTTAATGCCCAAATTTGGCGTTGTATAGAAATAAATGGGATATAAAGAATGTGTTTCTGTCATTCAAACTGCTCATTTAGAACTATTACTAAAGAATGTGCAGAATTTTACAAAAGCTATTAATCATTCTACACTAGATTATGTAGTATTTAGTCAGGGGTGCATCTACCTTTGGGTGGTAGGGGTCACTTACCCCCAACTTGACAACTTGAAGTGTGTGTGTGTGTGTGTATATATATATATATATATAACCCATAATTTCAATAATGCCTTGGACTTCTTTTCACTCATGTATCCAACCCTTTGTTTGTTGTTTATCTTTGTCTTCTGTAAAAAAGTTATTATCTTATTCTATGAGTTTATCTTTGATGATTGTTGGTTTTCAGAAAAGATACAAGCTTTGTTTGATTTTTTGGTAAAACTTTGCCATTGTTAATTCCGGTGGATTCAAATCACTAGCTTTGATGTAGTGATTCTCGGCAATTTTAGTGTTATTGGATGATTTTGATATTTAGTTTTGACATTTCTTTTGGAATATTAGTTAATTTTGTCAGATCTTGCTGTCGTTAACGGTGTATTACTAAATATTTTCAAATAAGCCAAAACCGTTTAATCCAAACTCATTCAGTTCCGATAGGTAATTTGACTTTGGTTCACATTACACCCTTAGGTGTGCCCTCAATCATCAGCCATCCTGGATCCACCACTGTATTTAGCATTTACCAAATGGTCCCTTCCTTTATTTGTCCGTCCGTTTTGCATTTATTCTATGTTCTCGAATTTAAGAGGAAAAGAAAGAAAACCAAAACAAAATATGCATCTCATGTGGTTTTTCGTAATAAATGAATTGTAGGAACCGAAACCAAATAAAACATATGAACCTAAAAATTATATGTGAGGCATCTCATTTTTATTTTTATTCATATTATATATAATGGTTATTTAAAAACATAAATAATAGATTTTCTCTAAAATTTGTTTTAACAAATTTAAATATTATAATACATATAATAATCAATTTGAAATTCTTTTAATCAATATATTATATTTTTTAATTTTTTTTACCATCTTGTTTATATTTGTTGATATATATATTGTTAGAGATTTTTTTCAATTATATTTTTAAAATATTATAATTGATTAATCTTTCAAGATACCCTTTTTGGTGTTTTTACATTTTCATCGGCTAATTTTGTCAAACATGATTTGTCCATCATTTTCAACTACCAGCTAGCTTGTCAGCTAGTTTCCCAAACATAGCCTGAAAAGTTTATTAGACTTAACTCGGGGTATTTGAGATTTGTTTTATCAAGTAAACTACAAGTAATGATCACTTCAAAAGTTGTTATAGAATTTGTGAGGTTATCTTAATGAATCTGATCAATTTCTTGATTTTGCCCATCACAGCTTGCAAGAATTATGCATTTCCATTTTACATCAATTTTACTAATTATGGTTGCTTCAAGATTCTTCTTGCTTGCTATAATACATTTCATATGTTTTGATCTTGATATTGTCTGGTTTGATTGTTTTTCTTAATTTGCCGTCCCCTTGTTTGTCAAGGGGTGGTCTGTGTGTTTTGTTCATGAAGCTTTTTTGATTTATATGTTGGCAATTTGGCATATTAGCTGTGATGCAATCTTTTTTTCTGAACTACAGTTTCTTGGTTCATTTGTATGTACAGTTGCTTATATTTTGATTCTGTTGCAAGAAATTTGATCAATTCAGTTGCCATAAACAGTCTCAGATCATGAAGGATCACGATGATGAGTTACTGATTCATTGCTTCTGTTTTCAAGATTCTACTCGCCAACTGCAATATTTTCAAAGTTTTGTTGGAATATTGTCTGATTTAGTACACTGTCTTCTATTGTTCTTGCTGTATATGGTCCTTGTTCGAGTTCTTAAGTCATTTGTGGGCATTAGATCTTTGCCTGTTTCTCCAGCACCCCACATGGACCATTCTAAGCAAGGGTTATGATAAATTTATATGCTTGCAAATGTGTAAAGAATGAATACCACAAAGTAGGCAACAAGTACATCATAATTTTTTCAATATTTGCTAGAATTGTATAATTAACAATCGCGTTTTGTTATATTGCAGTAGATGATTGACCCAACAATAGCTATCAAACAGCATATGGAAGCCATGGTCAACACTGATCTTGATGTTGATTTCTTCGACTGCTTATGGCAAGTAAGTTGATCTTTGCTTCGTTTTTTCCGCATATTTGCCTGTTGCATATAGAATGGGTCTTTTGGATTGAGCCTATAGACTGGTTGGATTAAAGATGTCAAATAAAAGTTTACTATATTTATAAACGATGATTTTCCTTGATCTTTTAGACTATTTAGGAAACATGACAGCATTTACATTTAAGCAGGTTTGGTTGCAAACTTAAGTCCCGTTGTGAACCGGGAGACAAAGGAGAGCACGTCATGTGTCCTAGATATTCACTTATGAATGATGTATTATTCATCCTTAATGGTATAACATTCATAGGCTCAATCCAACCAGTCTATAGGCTCAATGACAGAACTTGAATCATAAAGGCTCAAGTTAGAAAACTTCACATAGATGCTTTGTCATTAAATGACAGAATGTATTTCCATGTTCTAGAAGTTTCCAATATTAGAATTAATCGATAAAATCCACAAAGTTGGCATCCTCATGCATGGTGCCATTTGACTCCTAAGATGGGAAACTTAACATATTCCATATCGTAAACCTTCATCTTTTTTTGTACAATATACACAAAGGCCGGGTTTTCCAAACCCGTTTTCAGTAAGCATAAAAAAGGTCCGAGCCAAAAGGGTTTTTTGGGCTGGGCTTTTTCAGGCTTAGCCGGCCTGTCTCCCAAATTTTAGCCTGATCGGGCTTTGAGACCTGGTCTGGACCGGGCTTTGGGTTCACTAGGCCCTGGCTTGACCTAAGCTTTTTTATACATTCTAAACTAGCCTACTTTAAATGGTTGAAATTTACTTGCATCCGTTAAATAATAAAAAAAATTTAATTAACCTAGATATCCAACCCGCTATGCGAGTCGACTAATCCCAGGACGACTACCTGCTTTGCAGATGGCCCGGAGTCACCGCATTTGAACCTCCGTGGCCACAAGGGGAATTTTTGTTCATCATTGGATTTGAACCTGAGACCTCCTGGTACTTTTGACTTTTGGAGTCAAGCTCAAACCAATCAGACATCACCCTTGTGGTTACCCATAAGCTGAGGCAACCTTGGACTGAAAAAAAGTTGTGTCAATAAAAACCAAATCAAAACTAGTAAATCACATACAGAATGGGGCTGAAAAGGGTACGATATATACAGAGCATACTTTTTACCGCGATCCAAATATAGAGACGATGCATTTGTAAAGACAATAGACATTTCTATTTTCGGTTTAATTTAGTGGTCGTTATATTTCATCGTTTTTTCGTGGGGTTTGTCTTTTATTTTGTAATCATGTAAATAATATTCTTTGATTTTTGTCCTTTTTGGTCTCTCCAAGCTCTTATATGAACTCAAAAACTTCGATCTCTTTAACTAAAAGAAATGGAAGGACTCAACAAGAATATTGTGTGCGATCTCTACAAGTCATTGGCTGCCAGAGACACCGCCACCGTGCACCGCCTCCTAGCTCCCGACATCGACTGGTGGTTCCATGGCCCACCTGCTCATAAGTTCAACCTCATGCAACTACTTTCCGGTGGTTGTGCTTGTAACGACACCAACTCTTTCAACCCTCTTTCTATCGTTGCTATTGGATCGTTGGTGGTGGCAGAAGGCTACCATATTCACGAGAGCGGAAAAAACCATTGGGTGCATGCGTGGACCGTGGAGAATGGAAAGATTATAACGGAGGTGAAGGAGTATCTAAATACTTCTGTTACAGTCGCTCGTTGCAGAAAGTCTGATAATATATGTATAACTTCACCACGATCTCCTAAATTCAAGAACATGTGGCATAGCGAACTTACTCACAATGCTTCGATACCTCGTCTTCTCCTAGTGCTTTAAATTTACTGGATCGTAAAAAAGATGATGTATAGAATTTTATGGTGAGAAACGCAAAAAGAGATCTGAACCCATTATCACTTTTAATCTCATGCCATCCATGAATTGCGCTTTAAAATGAACTTGATCCGGTACATGTCAGTGTATCTCATTAGTGTTGACATTCAATTAAGATTCATCCAAGAATGAAGATCTCTTCTTACGTTTTTCACCATAACTTTCCTTCTCACCAGTAACCAACCCTCTGTACATATAAAATTGTATTCTTGATGTTATTAAATGTTCAAATGTTATTTGAAGTATGAGTAAGTTGTATTTTGATGATATATATATATATATATATATATATATATATATATATACACGAAGGTCGTTTGATAGAATTCGTATGGTGTTTAAATTAATGAGAAGTGTTACATAATTGATAATCATTGAGTTTGCCTACATTAATACCAACGGTTTGCTGGGTGACTTGGCTTAAGAGCCCAATGTCCACAAGCAACCCAAATTTCAAAAAATTGTAACCGTCAAATTGAGCCCGGCCTAGCCTGAGACAATTGGCACCGGTTATGACCTGACAGTCCGGCACTGCTTATAGTTTTTATAGAATTTCAAGGTCCTATCCGAGACCAGTTATAGAACCGGGACAGGTCATATACAGAACCATTTATTCATTTTTTTTAATTGTGTATTGTAATACAAGTTTTTTTTTAATATTGTTTACAAGATTTTCACAAATAAATCAATATTTTCATTTTTTTTAATTCTTTTAAGATTATATCTACTTAAAAATTAATCTATACTATATTATAAAGCATTTGGTCCAATCATTTAAAAACAACTTTTAAAGCATTATGTACTGTTTGTTGATGCATATTACTTAATGTTCAAGATTACAAGCAAATTGTCCGTATGTACAACTTATTAAAGCTCCATGTTCGAATTTGTATAACTAACTACAAATAAACATAATTAAATTTTGGATAATTATCTCATTTAAAATTAAAAAATCTAAAATATATTTAGAATAATCATTGAATTCAAAATACTAAATATTATCTTTATAAAAAATTATATTATTAAACTAAAAATAAATGACTTCATTATTAAATCTAAATTAAATTATAATAAAAAAATAGAATTAAAGAAATTACACAAAAAACAAGAACTTTTAAATATTTAATTTGATATAAAAATCAATATTTTTTTTTTCAAATTTATATATACATTATCGTTTTTTCGGTACCACATAAAATTGTAATATAACATCGACGGAGACAGAATAAAATAAAACATTAAAATCGATATGTATCTCGCTACATTGCACGAATACCCTTTTAATATTTAAAATGTATTAATGCTAAATTCTAATGATAAAAACATGTATAAATTTCAAAAATCGAAATTCTTGTGTAAAAAATATTAACTTTTATTTTCTAAAACGAGACTGGGCCTAAGATTTGTTCTTGGATTTTTAATTGGAACCGAAACCAGTTGATCCAAATTGATGGGGACCCATTTTTTACCATCCCTCGTTTCGGTCAAATTTTATGTATATAAAATACTCATGGGTTGGGTTGATTGAGTTGAAGACATTTGAACAACCCAACTTAATGTTTGTGGTTTGAAAAATCTTAACCTAACCCAACCCGAACCAAAGTGCAAGCCAACCCAACCCAACCCGTATGGGTTGGTCGGGTTAATCGGGTTGATTATTTGGTACATTACAATATTCTTTTAACATAGAATATGTTATTATCTACTCATAATTTATTTTTTATAATCAACCATTTGATACAACTTATCCATACTTTTTACATATATCACATTCAGTTAATTTTCTCAATTTACATATATATGTTCATAGTTACTAAACATATATACGAATAAGTTATATAAAAATGTGAATAAATTGAAAATATGTGTATATGAAGAGTATACATGATGGTGTAATTGTGTAATGTACATGTTAATAGAAATTCAACAATCATATTAAATCAAAGAAATAAAAGGATATCGGGTTCAATGGGTTGAGTTGAGTTCAAATAATAATAACCCAATATCAACTCAAATGCCAATAGTTTGACAATTTTACAACTCGATTAAATAGTGGGTTGCTTCGGATTAAGTTATTTTGTGTTGGATTGAGTTGAATTGATCGGGTTAGTCGGGTTTTTTAGCAACCCTATATACAACCCAAAACCAATGAGTGGTATGTTGCTCTAGTGCCTATATAAGACTTGTCTTGCTTTTTAGCTTTTCACATTTCTATCAACTCAAATCACCATTTTCAGAAGATGTGTAACCCACACCACCAAAACACGGCGGAGGAATGCCACCGGAATCTGCTGTCTAACTTCTACAAAGCATTGGCCACCCGAGACGCCACCACCGTCCACCGTCTCCTAACTCCCGATATCGAATGGTGGTTTCATGGTCCACCGTCGTGCAACCGTCTTATGGGTCTGCTCACCGGCTGTTCCGATGACCGCTCCTCCTTCACTTTCGACCCTCTCTTAGTCGTCTCCATCGGTTGTTCCATGGTGGTGGCAGAAGGCTACTTGCCGGAGAATCATAACGTCAGCTGGGTGCATGCGCTGACCGTCGTTGACGGGATTATAACTCAGGTGAGGGAGTATTACAACACTTCTGTTACCGTCACCCGTTTTGCCAAGTCAGCAAACGTCCACGTGCTTCCACAGGGTGGTGACAATTGTCAGTGTGTGTGGCAGAGCATGCTTACTGATCATAAATCTATGCCTGGTCTTCTTATTGTAATTTAAGTAATTGTGGATTGGGCCGTGATTTTACATGTTAAATGTCAGATTTTGAACAGAGTCCCGGATATTTTGGGGTCCAAATTTAATGTGTTCAGGGTCTATTTATCGACCTATAAAAGTATAGTCGAAATTATTTATGTTCAATCCATTAACCGTTTGGTTTTAAGTTCAAATCATTAATGGTTTATGTTTAGTTTCAGATTGTTAATCGTTTTAGGTTTACTCTATTTTTGTTCTTAACATATATTTTCTGTTATCTCATTTATGTAATATAATCAAAAGTTATTGATGTAACAGGACCTCCAAAAATATTAGAACGTCCCTGAATGTAATATGTATGATTTTATTATAAATCGAAAATAGTTTTTCAATATAATTTTTTAATTAAAATATATATATATATATATATATATATATAATTGATGTTCGAAAAAAAAGATATTACATGGTTAAATATTTCATGTTGATTTATAATTGTATCTAGATTTGGGATCATGTGAGACAATGTTGTTTTCGTGAGACACGATTTTCACATTTGAAATTTCACAGCAAAACACTATGAATGTAACTTTTGCAATGTTTTTTATAAAAATCGTGTCTCACGAAAACAGTCGTGTCTCGCGTGAACCTAACTCATTGTAGCTATGTTAAAAAGGTTATGTAAGATATGAAATTAATTATAAATAAACACCTAAAACTAGCTTTTTAAACGGAGTGGCGTAAAATAATTTGTGATGGATAAATTATCTTCATCTCAATTTAATTAATTTGTTAGTAAGGTGCATATACCACTTGTATGTAATATCTTTTATAATCACAATAAATTTATTATTAAATACATTAATTTTCAAAACTTAAAGTTTACAACTCATTACCCCATATACATATACATATATATATATATATACATATACATATATATATATATACATATATATATATATATATATATATATAAGAGGTTTACTTTGTAAATCATATTATTTGTATAAATCTCATTCAATCAATCATAATTTTTCATTTTGTTCATTTTTTTGTAATATATGAGAGGTTGATTAATCATTTTTATTGTAGAGAGTGTTAATTATGAATATTATCATCTTCATTATTTTAATTTTAGAGAATTACATGAAACCATTAAAATTTCATTAAGTATTATATTAAAACAATCATATTAAATCCAAGAAAAATAAAAGGATATCGGGTTTATCGGGTTGGGTTCAAATAATAGTAACCTAATACCTACGATTTGACATTTAACAACTCGATTAGACATCGGGTTGCTTCGGATTGAGTTATTTCGTGTTGATCAATAATTGTACAAACAATGCAACCCAATCAATTGAGATATTTATGTAAATGATGAGAGTTTATTTATTATAATTTGAATATTTATAAAAAATGGCTTTGAGTTCATTAATAATGATCAATACTTTATATTATGAAACAATCTAAACTTTTATGAAATCACATATTCATCAAATTAAATGGACGGTTGAGATTGAGTTGTATTGGTTGTACAAATGTAAAGAGTTGCATAATAACACACACACATATACACACACACACACACACACACATATATATATATATATATATACTTAAGACATTCACATTTAAACCTCATAAAGACAACAGATAAACGCATTAAAAAACATGATAAATATTAAGGCCTCCTAACATGAAAGAATTCTCGGGTTTTCTTTTTCATGAAGAATTGTATTAAATATTTATTTTCGATTTACAATAGAATTTACATCACGTTTGCACGAATATCCAACCACGAGAGCTTTGATGCCTTTCTGTATCGTTTTGATTTTGCTTTTGCTTTTTGTTCTGTGCTTTTTGGTTTACTGGGTTTGTTTGCATCTTACATAAAAATTTTGTTAAGTGTATTGCCTTTGTTTTATTCTCAATAAGGTTTATTGTCTTTAAAAGAAAAGTTTAGAACAAGAGAATAACATTAAAATCTGGTAGAAGAATTAGGTCTTTAATAGATACATCCGCTTTAATTAGATGTGTGCTTCCTAAAGTAAAACATAGTCTGATTGCATGGGTAGACAGATAAAATACATGTCTTTAATAAATGCTTGTCCAACAAAAATTCACACACGCTCGTACACACACAGCGGCTTTCACTGGAGAGTTAGTATCGTAACTTTTACAATTAGATAACAAACAAGTGCATAGGTGAACTTATAGTTCATATGTGAATCTGTTAAATAATTCATATGTGAATTACACGGGTTCACATATGAACATATAGTTCATATATAAATCACACAGAATCATATATGCACTTGTTTTGCCGTCTATTTGTAAAACTTACAAAACTACCCCTTTTATTTTCCGTAAATTTTGACTAAATAAAGGGCTATGATAACTTCTCTACTTCTCAAATGAACCTATATGTGTGTGTGTGTGTGTGTGTGTGATTGGGTTCCGGTGAGAAGCGTAAAAAGAGATCTTCACCTTTGGATCAAATTCTAATCGAATGTCAACACTAATGAGGTGCACAAAAATGCATCAGATCAATTCCCTTCTAAAGTGTTATCCATGGGTGGACATGAGATTAAAACTGATTAAGAGTTCGGATCTCTTCTTATATTTCTTACCATAACTTCACTTCTCACACGATCCTTCGCGCATATATATATATATATATATATATATATATGTGTGTGTGTGTGTGTGTGTGTGTGTGTATGACAATCAAATGAGAATCAAAAAAAGGTTGAGAACGGATATAAAATCATCTTTTTACATTATTTTGTTTTATTATAAGCTATGATTTAACATATCCATTCACATATGTTTGTGTTCATTTTATGAAAAAATTACATGCCATTCGCTTAGTGAAACAAAAAATACACATAAAAAATATTAATATGGTGAAACAAATATATGTGAAACTATCACATAATGAAATAAATATATTTGAAACAATATCTTAAATCCTAGCATTTGATGGAAAAAAATCATGTAAAAATTTATTTTTAAATTGGTTCTAACAGGATTTGTATGTATGTATGTATGTATACAGAGAGAGAGAGAGAGAGAGAGAGAGAGAGAGATGAGATCATGTGAGACCAACATGTTTTAATGAGACCCGTGATATCATTTTTTTACACTTGAAAGTTCAAATTTATTTTACTTCACAATATCTTGCTATGAAATTTCAAGTGTAAAAATATGGTATCTTTAATCTCACGAAAACAAGTTGGTATCACGTGAACTCAATCTTATATATATAGAGAGAGAGAGAGAGAGGTGCTTCATTATACAACTCATCCAATTTGTACAACAATTACAACCTAATCTTAATCGTCTATCTAGTCTAATGAATACATGGTTCCATAAATATATCGATTGTTTTCTAACATAAAACATTGATCATAATTAATGAATCGTAATCATCTTTCATTAATATTTAAATCATAATAAATAAATACTTATTATTTTTATAAAAATCTTAATTAATTAAATTATATTGATTATACAAATGAAGTAGATTGCATTTAAAAATGTCTTTTTGCATATATAAATAATATATTAAAAAACACTTGTTAATTTATCGTATGTGTTGAATTAATGTGAGTTGTTGTGGATTTCATTAATGCAAAGTGTTTGCACCATTTACATCACAACTAATTTCAGCCACTAAAATAAATAACAGCTTTTTGGATTTCGGTTATTAAATTAACTACGTCTAAATAAACTGTTATTTAAATCATTAAGTGGCTGAATTTTTATAACTTGTAACTTTTAGTTTTAATTAAGATACACTATAATAAAATAACACGTGTTTTTTATTTAAAAAATCTATTTAAAAAGGTCGATTGTAATGTCTAAGTCTGTTACGTTTAATTTTATAAAAAAAATACTCGTAAAAAATATTCACATGATGAAATAAATATATGTAAATTATCATATTATGAAACAAATATATATAAAGCAATATCTTAAATACTAGTATTTGATGAAAAAATATTATGTAAAAAAATATTTTTGTATCGATTCACACACACACACACACACACACACACACACACACACATATATATATATATATAGGGGCTTAATCAAATGAGAACTGAGTTGTTTGTGGTAACTGTGAGAACCAATCTCAACCACACATCTTAAATATCAATGGTTAAAATTGAAAAGAATCTTAATTAATGTGATTCCAAAATTAGATTAATGACATTTAATGAGATAATAAAAAAAGGGCAAAA